TCCGCCGGCATGAGTCTCGCTTGCACAAAATTCTGCCATACTTTGGCAGCTTTGTTGAAGTCGGAGCGAACCATAGAAGGCTGAATGTTTCCTTGCTTCCTTATCCACTTAGCATTGGAATCCACGCCACAAAGAGTGTGACATATCAACTTATAAATCGTTGGAGTCTCCTTGGGTTAGCATTCTCAACCCCCAAATAGTCACATAAAGACTCTCTATCCATCGGCACATCCTTCCCTCTTACACTTGAAATGTCCAATCCAGCATCCCAGTTAGCATACAGCTCTCAAACCATGCTCAAGTTTGCATGCCCTGGGAATTCCAAGAACTTGTGCATATTTAGAGCTCGTAGCCTGCCAAGTGCCTTCGGGAAGTTTCTTTCTAAGTCCGTGGTATTAATCCCTATCTCAGAAATGTACCGTCCAGATGGCACGAAGTCCCTGTGCCATGCAATAGCTGCAGCATCGACCAATTCCAAACGAGGCCTCGGCCTTAATGGCGCCTGCTGAGATCCCTCGGCAACCTATTTTCCTTTGGACTGCCGTGAAGAGCTTTCTCCCTGCTTGCGCTTTTTAGGCGCAGGAGATGTGGTGGAGGACTTTCCAATGCCTTTTCCTTTGCTAGAACCATCACGAGCCATAATATCCTGCAACACAAATAAGCATGACTGTGAGAACACATCAAGAAATATGCCTAATGTTGTTGTGCAAGTCATGAAATGACCCCACACTTAAAACCGAAGGCACAATGTACAATACGTCACAATTTTGGATCCAACATGTACAAGTGTTGCACCCCAAATCTATGGGTACTCAAGACTTCCCCATGCCACAAAATAGTGATTGATCATGGCTACACGAATTCACATTAAGGTAAGCAAGAGGCATATGGTACGCACCTTTCACAACTACTAGACTACACTAAATTAGTTAAATTTACAAGATTCTACAACATACATTATATAAGATAGATGGTGTATGAACATGTATTGCATCAAAGCCACACCCCCTAGCATTTAAAAGCATCCCTACACACCCCACACTTAGCCCAAATTCATCCACAAAATATACCCGGTTACTCAGACTTCACCGGTGCACCAAAATCCCCATTCAAGCATTCTAACAAACACCTTGCGGGCATAAAGTGTGTGCTTTTAATTCGACAATGGTGGAATATGGTGGCCCTCCCAATTTTCAACGAAGTAGAGGGAATTCTAGTTTACTACTCCATATACACATTAACCACACAATTTCGACCAACACAAATCACCCACATTTAAAATTGCATAAGAACTACATAGGAAAAAATTTGGGGGATTAGGGCTCTTGGGAATGGGATATCTAATAATTCAACATGTAAAAAAGAAAAAGAAGAAGAAAAAGAAAGAATAACTTACCTGGAGAGTGTAGAAGGAGGGCAAAAGAAAACATTGAGAAAATTGTAGAGTTGGAAGAAGAGGAATTAGGCAGAAGCTGTAGAATTTTTTTCAGCGTTTCCTTTTTTGTTTCTTTTGGTTTGATCGATGGTTTTGTGTTTGGGTGGGTTTGGGTTATGTTTAAGTTGGGTTGGGAAAGAATATGGGTATTAGGATGGGTTAGAGTGTTAGCGTAGATGGGTAATCGAGTTGGGTTAAATGGGTAAGGGTTAGAAAATTAAAAAAAACGAAAAAAAACACTTACCTGGATCACCCCCAGCCCGGCGCCTCGCGCCCTGACTGGCGTTGGGGTTTTTGAGGATTCTGTTTCCAGCGCCCAGGCAGCGCTGGGCGCTGGCCTGGGCGTTGTTTTCGCGAATTTTTTTTTTTTGAAGAAATCCCTATACCCCGAGCCTTTTATATACCCAATTTACATGTCCTACACCATCCTACTTATCATTTCTACTCCTACAAAGAAAATACAAATTAAGAAGTTAAACTAGGAAAGCAATAAAATTTGGGTTGCCTCCAAACAAGCACCTGATTTAACGTCGCGGCATGACGCACAGTCTCGCTTACTCATCAGCGAGTACAACCTTGATCTTCTCACGATTAATCATTCCTCCCCAATAGTGCTTGACTCTATGTCCATTCACCAAAAATTTCCTTTTACCATTTAGAGCTCGCAGCTCGATTGCACCATAAGGAGTGACTCTCACAACCTCAAACAGACCGGACCATCTCGATTTTAGCTTTCCAGGAAACAGCCTTAGCCTAGAATTGAATAATAATACCTATTGGCTTGGCTCGAAGTGATGCGGCTTGACATGCTTGTCATGCCATCTTTTTGTCTTTTCTTTATAGAGCTAAGCATTTTCATAAGAGTGAAGCCGGAACTCATCTAACTCATTCAACTGCAAAAGTCTTTTCTCGCCTGCGGCTTCAAGGTCCATGTTCAGCTTCTTAATGGCCCAGTATGCCTTGTATTCCAGTTCAACAGGCAAGTGACATGCCTTCCCATAAACAAGCTTGTAAGGGGATGCCCCAATTGGCGTTTTATATGCAGTTCTATACGCCCATAAGGCATCATCTAACATTGCAGCCCAATCCTTCCTATTTACACTCACCGTCTTCTCTAGTATTTGCTTTATTTCTCTGTTTGACACCTCAGCTTGCCCACTTGTTTGAGGATGATATGCTGTAGCAACTCTGCGGCGAACACCATATTTAGCTAGAAGGTTATTCACCAACCGATTGCAGAAATGAGTCCCTTCATCACTAATTAAGGCATGTGGAGTCCCAAATCTCTAAAATATGTTCATTTTCACAAAAGCAGCTACCACCATGGCATCATTTGTTGGCAAAGCAATTGCCTCCACCCATTTTGACACGTAGTCAACTGCTAGCAAAATGTATTTGTTTCCTCTGGACGGTGGAATGGTCCCATAAAATCTATCCCCCACACATCAAAAAGCTCAACTTCTAGGATGTTATTCAAAGGCATCCCATGCCTCCTTGTGATTGTTCCTGTTCTCTGACATTGGTCACACTTCTTAAGGAATACATGGGCATCCTTGAATAAGGTTGGCCAAAAGAGACCGGATTGTAGTACCTTTGCAGGTGTTCTATCTCCTCCATGATTGCCCCCATAAGGTGATGCGTGACAATCATACAACACTAATTCCACCTCTTTTTCAGGAATGCATCTCCTCATCAACTGAAAGCACATTGCTTGTACAAATATGGCTCATCCCAGTAGTAGAAGTTCACATCATGTATAAACCTCTTTCTAGCTTCAGATTGGATTTCAGGAGGAAGTACCCCACTCACAAGATAATTCACATAGTTTGCGTACCATGGGGGAGGTTCTTGGGTTATAGCAAAAAGTTGCTCATCAGGAAATACTTTTTTAATTTGGCCACCCTCCTCCACGTGATCGTGATTTTCCAGCCTTGATAGACGGTCAACTACTTGGTTCTCTGTCCCCCTTCGATCTCGTATTTCTACATTAAATTCTTGCAGCAACTAAACTCAGCGCATCAATCTAGCCTTAGATTCCTTTTTTGTAAATAGATACCTGATTGCTACATGATCGGTATGGACTATGACCTTCATTCCCACCAAGTAAGCCCGAAATTTTTCAAAGGTCCACACAACAGTTAACAACTCCTTCTCAGTGGTGGTGTAATTCAGCTGTGCATCATCAAGAGTCTTACGGAATAAAACACCTTGTCCTTCCTCTAGCCTAGCACTGCCCCAATAGCATGGTCACTTGCATCACATAAGTTCAAATGGTAAGGACCAATCGGGTGCCACAATAATGGGAGCAGACACCAACTTCTTTTTGAGTTCTTCAAATGCCTTGAGGCAGGCGTCATCAAAGTTGAAAGTTATATCTTTTTCAAGCAACCCGCATAAAGAAGTAGCAATTTTAGAAAAATCTTTAATAAAGCACCGATAGAAACCCGCGTGTCCCAAGAAACTCCAGACACCCTTCACTGAAATAGGTGGAGGTAATTTTTCAACCGCCTTCACCTTCGCCTTATCAACTTCAATGCCGCTCCTAGATACTCTGTGACCCAACACGTTGCCTTCTTGTGCCATAAAATGGCACTTTTGCCAATTCTGTACTAGAGTTTCTTCATAACGGGCCAGCACCTTGCTTAAATTCCTCAAGCAATCATCATAAGAAGACCCAAAAACTAAAAAATCATCCATAAACACTTCCACGAATTTTTCCACCATGTCGGTGAAAATAGCCATCATGCACCTCTGGAAAGTGGCTGGTGCATTACAAAGACCAAACGACATTCTCTTAAAGGCAAAAGTACCATAAAGACAAGTAAAAGTGGTCTTCTCCTGATCCTCTGGGCATATGACAATCTGATTGTATCCCGAATAACCATCAAGGAAGCAATAATATTCATGCCCGGCTAATCTGTCTAGCATTTGGTCAATGAATGGAAGTAGGAAGTGGTCCTTGCGGGTTGCTTTGTTGAGCCGTCTATAATCAATTCAGACTCTCCACCCCGTCACAGTACGAGTAGGAATTAGCTCATTCTTCTCATTCTCAATCACAGTCATTCCTCCCTTTTTGGGCACACATTGAACTGGGCTTACCCAGTTGCTGTAAGAAATAGGAAAAATGATACATGCATCGAGCAACTTGATTACTTCCTTTTTCACCACCTCTTTCATAATGGGATTTAACCTTCTCTGCTGCTCCACACTGGGGCGGTGTCTGTCCTCTAAAAAGATTTTATCCATGCAAAACGATGGACTAATTCCCTTGATGTCAGCAATAGTCCACCCAATAGCCTTTTTATGCTCGCGGAGTACTCTGAGCAATTTTTCTTCTTGAGTGTTAGTCAAGCTAGAGGATATAATCACGGGAAATGTCTTAGAGTTCCCCAAATAAGCATAACGTAGGTGCGCTGGTAGAGGCTTAAGTTCTAGCTTTGGGGCTTCTTCAATAGATGGCTAAGGAGGGGGTCAGAGTGACAGGTCTGTTCAACTCCTCAAATTTTCCAAGCCCATGGACATAATTACAGGACATATCAAATATTTTCTCAATATCTCCCTTCATTTAATCTTTACTATCTTCTTCATCCCCAATCAAAGCTCGTTCAAGAGGATCTATAGGGCTCATGTAAGGCACTAATGATGTAGCATCACTTTCTACCACAGAGATCATGGATAGCTCTTCATAGTGGGCTGGTAACTTGAGTGCTTTATAAACATTGAATACCTCCACTCGATCACCCAATCTCATTGTCATCCTTCCTTCGCAGACATCGATAATAGCTCGACCCGTGGCTAAGAATGGACGCCCCAAAATAAATGGGACTTCCTGATCAGGCTCATAATCCAAGATAATGAAATCAGCCGGGAATATGAAAGAACCCACTTGAACTAACACATATTCAATCACTCCCTCAAGATGAGCAAGGGAGCGATCAGCCAACTGTAAGATAACTATTGTTGGGCGGGGCTCACCCAACCCCAACTTTCTGAACACAGATAGTGGCATCAAATTGATGTTTGCTCCAAGATCACAAAAAGCTCGACCAACAGCATGTTTTCCAATCGAGATTTCGATAGTGAAACTACCTGGATCCTTCAATTTCTAAGGTAACTTGCCTTGAATTCTTGAACTGGACTCCTCAGTGAATGCCACCGTTTCGAACTCAGTCAGCCTCCTTTTATTCGCCACTATGTCCATGATGTACTTTGCATATTTGAGTACTTCTTGTAAGATGTCAACCAATGGAATATAAATTTGCACCTGCTTCAAAATATCAAGAAACTTTTTATATGCGGCGTTATCCTTTACTTTCTGCAATCTATGAGGGAACGGAGGTGGTGGCCTTGCAACCAATGGTGGGGGTTGCTCAGCCACCGCCTCTCCAGCTGGCTTCTCTGACTCCTTAGATTTTTCTGATGTTGATCCTGTCGTGGCTGGCCTCTCATTAAAAGTCACCTGTTTCCTTTTTTTAGGCTGAACTTCTTCTAATTATCTCCCATTCCTCAACGGCATGGCATTAAGGGATGCCTTAGGATTAGCTTCAGTGGCACTTGGAAGAGCTCCAGCTGGTCTAGTGTTTTGAGCACTGGCAAGCTGTCCTAATTGGCGCTCCAAATTTCAATTTGTTTCGGTTTTGGCTTGCTGCTCAGCCATAAATTTCTGAGTGAGGGCTTGCTGTTCAGCCATCACTTTTTTCAACATGTCTTCAAGGTGACTGGTTGGACTCACATTTTGTTCAACCTGAGGTGGTCTATATTGCTGTTGAGGTGCTTGAGGCCTATATTGATTCTGAGTACCTTGGTTCCACCCCAAGAGAAGTTTGGTGGTTCCTCCAGTTGGGATTGTAAGTGTTCCCATACTGGTTTGTTTGGCCCCTGTTTGCATTACCCACAAAGCAGACAAACTCTGGATTAGCGGGACATAAGTCGCTCGTGTGACCCTCTCCACATATTTCACAAAACACTTGAACCTGTTGTACTGGTTGTGCTTGTTGCTTGTTGATAATCAAGGTCATCTGATTGACTTGGTTGGTCAGTGTAGAAATCTGCGCTGATAATGCTGAGACGACATCTAACTCAAGAACTCCTGCAGACTTTTGCACTGTGTGTCTACCCATCTCTCCTTGCTAATCCAGATTGCTTTTGGAGAATTTATTCAATATTTTCTCCAACACTTGACCTCCAGCTGCAGCATCTACCACAATCTTTGTTTCAGGATGTAGACCTTCTATGAAAGTGTGAGCTAATACTTCTCTCGTCTGATTGTGATGAGGACCGTCTCTGATTAGCCCCTTGAACCTCTCCCAAGCTGAGTATAAAGACTCCCCCGCTTTCTGTTTGAAGGCAACTATCTCACTTCTCATCTTTGCAATTTTGCCTGAAGGGAAGAACCTTGCCAGAAATTTCCTTGCCAAATCATTCCATGAGGTAATAGAATTAGCTGGTTCTGCCTTCAACCATCGCTTTGCTTCGCCCAACAGTGAGAATGGAAAAAGTGTGAGCCTCACATAGTCTGGAGTGACTCCGTTAGTGATATAAGTATCACTAATCTCCAAGAAGTTCAGGATATGCTATTGTGGATCCTCGTGTGGAAGACCCATAAACTGCCCATTCGCATGAAGTAGCTGCATCATGCTTTGTTTTAGCTCAAAGTGTCCAGTGATTCTGGGATTCACAATGCTAGAGGTGACATTGGAAATGCTGGGCATCGCCACCTCCTGAACAGCCATGTGTTGCTCCTCTGCCATGTTCCCAGGAAATTGAACAAGTGCCTGAATATTATTCGTGTCCCTTGCTTCCCTCAACCTCCTGTGAAATGTTCTCTCGGGTTCAGGGTCAAAGCCTTGAAGTCGGTCCTGGCTTCTGACCCTTAGCATTCAATCAAAGTTCCTGAGATCCGAGCAACAATCAAGTAACGTTAGACTTGACGAAATAAACAATTAAAGCAAAAACTAGAAAGTAGTTAATATTCAAGTCCCCGACAACGGCGTCAAAAACTTGTTGCTCCCAAACGCACATGCGTACAAGTAATAAAATGATAAGTTGAGTGTCGAACCAACAGAAACTTATATTAACTACTCACTAACTCACCAATATTGTTATTCAGTCAAGCTAAATTCGAGTTCAAGAGTTTAATTATACTAAACTACAGTTCTAAGTATTAACTAAATTATCAAGCGGTAGAATGATTGTTATGTATTCAGTAGAGACAAATATTCCAGGGTTGTGATCGATTTACCAATCCTATTGTGTTCTAGTTAACTCTCCCTCTTATACAATTCACTCATGGTTGCTAAATTAATCGATAATTTCTCTCATAGCCTTCTCCCGAAGTACTACTCGCCTATTCAAAATAGATTAATGCCTATATTCCTATGGAATCAATCTATTAAGAACGCATTAAGATTACGATATTTAATTAAGCACGGTGACTATGTATATTCCTATCCTAACCACAAATCCGCCCCCCTAAGGGTTAAGATCATGCTCTCTTCAATTCTTCTCTAATCTAAACACGGCTTTCCCAAGCATAGCATAGATAGTAAATAGAACCTAACTGCTGGCCAGACAATTAAGCAATTAATTACAGAATTGTAGAAACAACCATATATTAGTGAATTATAATCGAGGTTAAGTCAACGTTAAACAAAAATATTCATGGCTAAATCACAACCCCAGAATAATGTGTTTTTAGCCACTCATGATACTAGCAAACAATTGCATAAGTTTTGAATAATTGAAAATACTAGAAAAGATGAAGAAATCTGAGATGTTCTTGCTCCCGGATCTTTCTCGTGTGTATTTTTCCTTCAAAGTGGCGCCCCCCCCCCCCCTCAAAAATAGGCTTAGTCTTTCTTTTATACATGTTGGGTAGGTCTAGGGCCGAGTAAACCGTGTCTCGGGCAAAATAGGACAAAATCACGTCACTAGCACCCTGGGTAGCGCCAGGCGCCCACCAGGGCGCTGCTCAAAATTCAGCTACTGCCTCCAACGCCACAGGTGGCGCCAGCCGCTGCCTGTGGCGCCCAAATGCCCAATTCGCTCGGTTTTGTTAGTATTGGCTCTAATTTTGCGTGTTTCGTCCCCAGTTTGCTCCCGATTCATTCCTACACATAAAAACACTTCAAATTAATATAAATCATAGCATTTAACATCCCAAATTCACGAAACAAAAGTAAAATATGAGGCGATATACATAAAAATATATATGCTTTAAGCTAAACATCAACCAGCTCAGAATGCACAATGAAAAAAAATTAAAAAAAATTTGGTTAGGAAATCTGGAACTTGTGTAAATATCTAGATTAATTTTTACTCTGTTTCATACTGTAAATAGTATACTCCTGTGACATGTGTTATATGACTCACTGATCTCTACCAAATTTCTCTATTTTGGTAAATAGAGACATGATCAAAAGGATTCTAATTGAAGAACTTGGTTCATCAGTATTGGTTCATCTGAACAACGAGGTATGTTTTCTATACTCTGCACAATTAGAAATATAAATATTTAAATCATGAGCAGAGTCCTACCCATGTTCAAAATCATCACAAAAACCTATCCCTCTAAAGTTTGAACCAGTTCTGTCTCTCATAGAATCCTCACCACATAAAACACCTAGAATCTAGGGAAGCATAACCGCTTATTCAACCTGAAGTTTCAGGCTGATTGGACTTCTAATTGACTACAAAAAGCTGCCGTTAGTCATTAATTAGGCCTCTCTATTTAAAAACCCATCATCACAATCACTGTCACTCTCATAATTCTCTAAACCATCGAATTTCTTCTTTCATTCTCAATTGCTCTCTCTTCCAAAAGCCAAATTCACAAATTCTCTCAAGAATCAGTCACAATGTCTAACCCCCAAGATAACCCAGGCGCTCCTCCACAACCTACCCCCTCTGATTCATCCGCCCCTTCTCCACCCAGAACAACCCCTAAACCTAGGAGAAGGCAAGTAAAAAAGCTTGCTCGCAAAACGGTGGCAACTGGTGCTCTTTCAAAGAAATTGAACGAGAAATTAAAGGCAAGCCAAGCCCAAGATTCTGAGAACTCAGACGATTCGTTCAAATCTGCGAGTGAGGGGGAAGGAACTGGGTCTTCTGACTCTGAGAAGGCTCAAAACTCCCCTTTTGAGGTATGTTCTGTTTTGGTTGAGAATGTAGACAATAGGTTTATTCTGGTTGGGTCTGTTAGGAATGTGGAATTGCCTGAGTCAAGAAGGAGAGGTGGTAAAAATAAAGGTGAAAAAGAAAAAAAGAGTGAGGGTGTGCATAGTAATGTGATGGGAAAAGGGAAAGAAGTGGTTGGTTCTTCACCCACTTCTGAAGTGGTGGTACCAGCTATCTGTGGGGTTGAACATGCAACTGTGGAAGAAAGTAGCAAGAAGACAGGGGGAAGTGGCTCGGGGGAGGCTGCTGAAGGGTTGGTTAATCTTAGTTCACAGGCAGATGAACCTGGTTCATCTGTTGAGGAGAACCTAGCAGACCTTCTGAAGAAAGTGGGTGCTAGCTATGATCCAAAGTAAAGGAGAACCCCAACACCAAAAGCCCCCAGCACTGCAAAACCTTCCAAGAAAAGAAAGCTTCTTCTCCAACAACTGCTGAAATTCCCTTGACAAAGGGGAGAGCCGTAAGAAGTATGGTGAAATAGAGTGAGAGTGAATTACAAAAGGCTTTGGCTGAAAGCAAGAAGAAGAGGATGGATAAAGGAAAAGCTAAGGTTGCGGAGCCTTCTGAGGCTGTTGATGTTGAGGAGATGGAACAGGTCCATCAGGAGGAACATTCAACTGTGGAGGTTCAGACCCCCAAGCCTAAAAGGACCAAGACTTCTTCCAAGAAGTCTTCGTCAGGGTCTAAGGCTGCTGAACCTTCATTGGCCAAAAGGACAAGGTCTGCAGTGAAAAAACAAACCAGTTAGAATTGCTGAGGATGAAGAATGGAGTGGTGAAGAAGAGAGTGAGTTTGATTTGAACAAGACAAGCTGGCCAAGTTTGGCAAAAGAAAAATTTTGAAGGGTAGATTGCTGAAAGGCTTGGTGGAACCAGGAATTGTTTGATTGGTTGATGCACTAGCTGCTCAGGGCTGGAAGGACATGGTCCTTCAGATGGATGGAAGGCTAGCTAAGAATGAAATCATTGAATTCATGGCTAATGCAGAGGTCAAGGACGGCAGAGTTACCAGCCAAGTGAAAGGGGTTCAAGTGACTTTCGATGCAGAGAAGCTGGGTGAGATTCTTGACATCCCTGCTGAGGGATATGATGACTATACTAGGAAAATATGGCCAAGTCTGGATTCCCTTCCTCCTGCCCTTGAAATCACTAGGAAATTCCCTGATGTTGAAGAAGTGAATGAGGCCAAGTTTGTGCACAAGAGTGAGCTGAAGACTTGCCACAAAGTCCTATTTGAATTTGTCAACAAGTGCCTACTGCCCAGGCAGGAAAGAAGGCATATTGCTAACTATATGGACTTAGTTCTGATGGAGTGTCTCGAAAGTGGAAGGCAAATCAACTGGCCTGCATTCATCATCAAGCTACTGGACAGGGTTATCAATGGCTCCAAGGCCCATGCCACCCCTTATGGAGTTATTCTGACTACTGTTCTGGATCGTTGCAAGGTGCCTCTGAAGAAGTGGAAAATGGCCACAAGCAAGGATCATTTTGGCATTAATACTTTGATTGCCTGTGACTATCGAGTCAATGCTATTCCCAATGAATCTGGTTCATCCAAGAAGACACCTATCAATAGTAAAGTCAGGGTTCTAGTTCAGGAAAGTGGGGCCAAGGATGCTGAGATAGCTAGACTAAAGGCTCACTTAGCAGAGGTTGAATCTGAGAGGGATGCTCTCATAACTGAACTCACCAAGGAAAATGAGAAGAATGATGGCATTCTTCAAAATATGCTGAACCTTCTCCGAGCCCAAAACCAACCCTCTAGCTACCCCAAGCCTTAGGACTTCTAGCCTTCATCTCCTGAACCTGTCTAGTACCACCAATGACCCAGATTAGGGATTTCTCTTTCTTTTGCTCATGTTTTGAATATTTTTGCTTTCTTTTGTGGATTGTGGTAGCAGCATATCTCCTATCAATGAAATCGACTGTTTTTTATCTTGTTGATTGTTAATATTTCCTTGATAGTTTGAATATGTTTGCTTGATTACTGATGATTAACCCATGATTGCACTTGCAGTTGCCCCAGTGGCCATGAGTAATTGTTAAAATTCTGGGGATTACACTTTGTTTATGCAACTTCTCGATGATGCCAAAAGGGGGAAGAGATATTGTGCTTTATATATTCTAAATAAGTGATGTTTATAATCTAATGAACCTGGTCCTTGATGATAAGTAAATTTTTCTAACTTTGTATTGATGAATAAGCTGAGTCCGGACAGGGCTTAAGTGAGTGAAAAGCACAGAGTTTTTCATCATCAAAAAGGGGGAATTTGTTGGCCCAAGTAAAGGTGAAGTTTTGAAGACTGACAAAGGAACTCAGACATGGACCAGGTCCATCTTGTGAAGCACAGTTATGATCATCTCAAACATGTGAGATGCACGTGAAGGAGATAAACCTAACTTATCTGAAGTGATATCTCCTGATCATGATCGAAAAGTTTGCATATTGGATAAGGAGAAAAACTCCTTACACAAAGAGAAACACGGCTTAAGAAATGGATAGAGTTAGAGGATGAGACCAACTAGAACTCTTCCACCAAGGAAGAGTAGCATCTGTATTCTAGTCAATCTCTTTTTACTAACTCCATAAATATCAGTGTTGTTCTCTTTTACAGGTAATGCACATAAGCAGAAGTTCAACGTGAATTGAGAGCAAAATAGCAAAGCAATTTTGCAAGCAATTCGTGTGTGATTCAAGCGTGCAAACCTGAAGCTACTTGAACCAGATAGAAGAACCAGTTCCAAGTGTTTGTCTTTTATTCTAGTTCAATTGTAGTAGGTGATTTTCACATTGTACCTTTCAGCTTATCTAGAAGCAATTGTGAGCCCGTTTGGATTGGCTTATTTTAAGTGCTTTTAAGTCAAAATAGCTTTTATGCCATTTTGTAGTGCTTGGATAAAGTAAAAAAGTGCTTTTAAGCACTGTTTGTAAGCTAAAATGACAAAAATAAGCCAAAAGCCAAAAGTTAGAATTCCTAACTTATGGCTTTTGGCTTAAAAGTCACTTGCAACAAGCCCATCCAAACGGGCTCTGTATTAGGTACTCGGAGTTTTCAAGTTAGAGTAACTTGAAGTTGTCGCAACAGTTGAGGTTGTGTGCCACAACGGGATTAGAGTTAATCCTAGGTTTACAAAAGAGTTTTTTGTAAATGCAACTTTTGGCTCAGTGATTTTAGTGGAGAGTTTGGGAAAATCCTACTGGAAGGTAGGTCGTGGTTTTTTCACCTTTTGAGCCAGGTGTTTTTCCACATAAAATCTCTGTATTCTTTAATTTCTGTATTTATTATTCTGCAACAGTAGTAGTTGGAACACATAGAAGAACCAGGTCCTTCTATAATCAGGTTAAACGAAAAATTGGGTACCACACAAATCACCCTTCTTGTGTGGTATTGAAGTATAAAACATCAGCATATCAAATGATAACTAACAACATTTTAGTCTAATATGAGTGATCATCTCTCACTTGGTTTTGGTAGCTCTCATTCTATTTTCTGATGTTTATCGTCTTTATTTTATAACGATAAGAAAGTGATGTTCAAGATAAACCTCGCTTTACTTAATATAGGCTATATATGCAGATTTCCAAGTCAATGGATGTGTAATTAATCCTTTATAACGATTAGTATGGATTTAAAAAGTTATACAGAAAAGTTTTCATATAGTATATAATTTGAGCCAAAAGTGTGCTAATAATGCAGACAGTGCCGCCAATGTAGATCTGCCACTGGTTACTCAATTGGTTAACATTTTAAAGGTCCTCCTATTTTCTTTCACAACAACCTATTTTCTACGGTAACTCAACTCTCCTCCCTCCCTTAATTACTTCCTCATCCTACTCTTCTTGTTCCTTAATTTCTATTTTGTATGTAAAGCTTCGTTCATTCCTCCCCTTTACTATTATCTGATCTCAAAACATCAAAAAAAATGGAGCCTATGTTCCTTTGTTTCTTCTTTCTCTTCACCCTCACTTCATCACAATCCATTGATTCATCACCAAACATGCAGCCTACAGCTTCTTCTCAAGTAAACTCACTAATTACTCATTCTTCATACCCTCCTGGATATGAACACTCAGCAATATCTCCGTCATCAGAAACAGAATCAGTTAATTCTGGCATCTCTTTTCCTCCTTCAGATGCTCCTTCACCCTCACCATCTAAATCAGAACTAGAATCAGAACCGGAATCGGAATCAGAATCAGAATCAGAATCAGAATTGTCTTCCTTTGAACCATCAGAATCTTCTTCCATTTCCACTGATTCTATTTCCTCTAGTGATCAAGCAGCCACCTCCGGTCTATCTTCTTCTCTTATGTCCAATACTCAAAACGACGACGGTGCAAGTGCTAATCATGATACTACTATAAAGAAAATATGCGACAATACTGACTACCCTGATCTTTGCACCGCAACTGTTGCTCCATTTATGCGTGGAGGTGCTGTCAATGTACAAAAAGCACTTGAAGTAGCTATGAAGGCAAGCGATCAGTTTGCCAAATTGGGATTTGCAGCTGTGAAAAGAGCTTCTGAATCCCCTGCTACTCCCCCTAACACTAAAAAAATGCTTAAAACATGCCTTGATAGTTGGGATACTGTTTTGTACAATTACGAGCAAGCTACTGAGGCTCTGCGTATTCATGACAGTGGACGTATGAGCACTATGCTCAGTGCTGCTATTACTGATATTTCAGATTGTGAAGATGCTTTTGAAGGTGTGATTTCTCCTTTGATTGAGTATGGTGAAAAGATGATCAAAATGACTAGTATTTGCCTAGCCATTGTTTCACAAATCGCGAGTTAGATCACAAAAATTTCTTATTTTTCACAACACACAATTGATCCTTAATCACCCCGCGTAATATTTTTGTATTTTGTTGGTCTATTATTATGTATGAGTAGTAGGATATACATAGGAACTTCCGCTTTGCAGAAATATAAGGGAAATAGGCTGAATACAGGCCACCCTTCCCCTATTCTTGCATTAGTTTGTGCGCCATAACAACATTCCATATGATCATATCATTCTTCCGTATAGGAATTCAATCGTTTTAATTCATTTGTGTTATTGCGTCTAAACATTTTGTACATGAGTTGGATTGCACCTTTTATGCTCTAATTTAGTTAGTGATATACAAAGCAACACAGCATTAGAGACATTACATAAAGTCTTAACAGAACAAGAAGATATTTATATTTGAGGGGAGCAATATAAAGAGTCGACGAGTCCCATTATTGTGGGAATATTGCTGATCAAATTACTTAATTTTAAATGTAAAAGCAATATATAATTACAGCCAGACCTCTCTATAACAACATCCTTATATAATATCTGTAGACATCGAAATTTTAAGGGTTCAGGCCAAATCCTAAGTTAAAGATACTACAGGACTCTTGAAATCCTAGGAGTCTATTGGGGTTTCTTGGAGGTTACTGATCACGCCCAACTATGCCTTATAAAAGACAAAGCGGTCGTTGCAAATATAATCCAGTTTACAAGTCCGGAGTCGAATCCTCACGGAACTAACCTATTTATTACAACTCTTAATGATGCTAGTACCAGCTCAACCAATTCCCGGATGCAAGATTTTTATCAATAAACATTGGAATTTGTTTAACTAAAGTAAAATGATAGTAAAACTAACAATATTCCAAATTAAAGATAATTCAATGATAAAAAGATCTAGGGTATTGACTTCCCCAGTTACTAGATTAATTCTTAACTCTTTTGCTATAATCTCGCCGTAATACTCTATGAGGATTATGAGCTATGGGTTACCGCAATTATCTGTTGATCAACTACGATAATTTACTAGAGCATTCTCTCGAACTACTCTAGCTGATAATTTATGCAGCTCTGAATTATCCTACCAAAGTTTCGTTATCTCTAACCCCACTTTTAAATTCAAGTAATGAATCTCTTCAATTACCCAAAATTGATGTTGTTCAACAACAATCTAACCTAGTATTCTTTCTCAAGCAACACAAGGCGATTAGACACGATTAATCAAGGGCTCATTCAATTAATTACCATACAAAACATAGTTGAACAATCATATAATAAACCCGGCTTGATTATAACAAAACTGAGTCAAAACTTCATCTAACAATTGGTTCCATCAACCCTAGATTAAATGTTTAGCTACTCATGGTAAAACAAGAATAAACCATAAAATCATTCATAATTCACAAAATAATTATAACAAGAAGAGGAATGAAAAACTCTAATGGTGTCTTGATCTTCCCACACTTGTTCTTGCCTCCAATTGAGTCTAAAAACAAACTTAACCTTGACTTGGGCAAGTTTGTTGAGTTTATATAGGGTTAGAATAAGTTTCATGCTTTACACTTTAGCCCTTAACTTTTCTTGGCCTTCTCCAGATCGACCGCGGTCGCGGGCCAACCGCTGTCCGACCGCGGTCGTTTTTGACTATTCTATTTTTCGCCTTTCTTTCACCGTGTTCCAGCCGCGGCCCGACCGCGGTCGCGGTGGACTGTTGCCCAGTTTTTCTTCGCCTTTTCTTGCTCGTTTTCATCTGTCTCTTCTCGATTGGCCTTGTATCTTCATTTTTTACCCCAAAACACTCTATGTCCTTTTCCTAACTCGGAGTAGCTCCTGCAAAGCATAAAAAACTCAATTAGAGCATTTTATTATCATTTAGCACTTAAAACATCAATATAAAGTATGGTTAATTTAGAGCATAAATAGCATCTATATAGCATAATATAGGCTACTATCAGTTACTCTACACTTAAACCGTTGCTAGTTCTCTAGCAACAAAACCACACTTTATAGGCCTAATCTTCTATGGGTCACTTCCTTACTCCTTATACCAAGAATAATTCACATGGGAAGATTACCTTAGCATAACATCCTAACCTCAAGAGTGAACTCTCTCTATAGCCACGTAATGTCCGTAACCAGCTTTCATACTCTCAGTCAGAGGTCCAGACTTACCTTCCCTTCATGAATCACGTGCCTACTCACCACAAAATAGACTTGTGTCATGGTCATTACAATTCACACACTGAGGAATTCAAATACGTAAAATTTCACTCACCCTCAGAAATAAATTCTTATGCCACAAACAAAGCACCATAGGCTTGCCCGTAGTGTAATACTCGACTAATCGAGCCCATTTGGTGTAGAATCAAGTAGGACTTTATTTGGTTGTAATGTTGGCTGCGGGACAGGTAGGATACATATGGGTATAATGACTACACCTCCCTAAGCACTTCAATACACTTTCTACTTTCAAGCCCATACCTTTATCAAACCTTCATTCCACCTTTACATCATTGAATTAAACCCCCTACTTCTTTAAGCACGCTTTCTCTTTTAAACACCACCACCATTTTGGGACTTATTCTTGTAAAAATTATTCAGCTCAGTCTCTTCTCCTTTTTTTCTAGATTCTGGTGGCTTCTAATATTGTTTATCACACAGTGCACCCCTTTTATTTTTTATGTCTTCTTGGTTCCACTCAAAAGCCCAACCAGCCACCCTACACTTTAGCTTTTCCATATTCATTACAATCAAGTGCTTCTAAGAGGTGATAGGGTTCAAAGAGATAGGTACTTCAAAACTTGGGTAAGGCTTGTAATGTGGTTGCCAAGGAAAATAGGATTACAGGCTCAAAGGGGTTAACTAGGATATATACACTCAGGTGGGTGAAAACATATATAGATAGGTTCAACAAGGAAACGCCTATATCACTTTCTAGACCAATTAAGACTACCATTTCGCTTCATACACACACAGGGCAAGTTCTAGTCATTGAGTGTTAGCATAGAATACACAAAGCCTTACTCACACATGGCACATGACTCAATTCAGTTAGGACCATCCGACACTCTGCTCAAAGTGCTTAAGCCAACTCAAGAACACACAATTTAAGGCTTTATTGCTAGAGTCAACTAATGAGCCTAAGTGTCACACTAAAGCAATCTCTATTCAAGGTACCATGGA